AGGTGCCAAGCAAGTATGCGGTGTCAGGTGAACAGGCAGGACCAGGACAGAAACCACACCTAGTTCCGTGTCCTCTAGGAACTATCCATGGCTCTGCTGCTCTGGGTGACTTCCAGGCATTTCCAGCTCTTTGCACCCATGGCTTCAGTAGACCCATAACTCAGAGCAGTCCCTAAAGAAGGATGCAGAAGCCAGATCCATACAGATCCACACAGTCTGGCAAGAAGGGCACAGGGAACCAATGGGGCCTATCTCACCACCCACCCCAGCCAGGGCTCAAGGACCCTCTCTGAAGGTGTGTCCTGGGAGACTGAGGTAGCCCTGGCTATCTGTGAGCTGGGGAGCAACACTCCAGGGAAGGCAGCTAGGCCTGGGAAGCTCCCAGGATGGGCTGGAACAAGGAGCTTGCACCCTAGAAGCCACAGAGGTGTTCTGAGCAACATTGGGCAGGATGTAGCTTGCGTGTTTAAAAAGCCATTCAGAATAGAAGGACCCTGCACTGGAGGAATAAGGTGGCTGGAAAGTTGGGGGTGACATGCAAGGTCTGCCAGAACAGCAGAACCAGTTGGACCCGGTGATGTACCAGGGGCATAGGGGAGGACAGGGTACTGGGAGACACTCAGCTTTTGGGTTCAGCACCTAGGAGGATAGGCTGTTTGCTGCAGTGGGCTTGGAGTGATGAGCAGCTAGTGGTAGAGACACACCTACTTGGGTCAGGGCTGGTCATCTGGTGGGATTTGTGTATTTGCGTGGTGCTGTTATGACCGTCTTCTTTCCACAGACCCTGCTCCTATCTCTACTCTCCCCCACACTCTGTGCCCAGTGCCCAGCATGGCCCTGCCCTCGAAGCCCAGTGGTCATCCTTATTGGACAGGTGGATGATGGGTAGTCACTAGGTTCTGTTCCACTGCTTCCTCCTCTTCCAATGCACTTTTGTCTTTTCAGCGCCACTTACACTGCTCTGGTTAGAAATTAAAGCACGCTCATTCTTCCCAGTGGCCAGTTGAACAGAGGCTGCCTCAGGGTTCCAGGCATCTCAAGGACGATCAGGCCCCAGCAGGCGGGAACTTCGCTTTTGCTTACCGAGGGAGAAGACTCACAATAATATAAATGTGTTATTTGAATTGATTATATTTCAAATTTGAATTGGAAGATTTAAAATTCAAAACAGGAGTAGTAAAATGGTAGCTTTACTTCTGCAATTTGGCCCCCTAGATCCAGCCCCGCTTCCCCAGATCAACCTGTCACTGTTGAACCTCATCGTTCTTTTTTTCAACATGTGATAAAGGATTAGGTCTACTTTTAAAATTTTTTTTCTTTCTTTCTTTTTCTTTTTCTTTTTTTTTTTTTTTTGAGAGATTTTTGCTATAGGGTGCATGCACTTACTGGAAAGACAGAGATAGAAAGTGAGAAATCACCCCCCAGGGGGATGGCCATGCTGCAGTCCCTTCTCCTCCAGTCTCCTCTAGGGATCTTGGGCATGCACGCACACGCACCAGGTGTTTTAAGTCACTGGGTCCAGGACTTGAACTGTGGTTGACTATGTGGGAGTCCAGCAATGTAACCATCATGCAATCTGCTGGACTCAATTTCATTTTCATAACGGAAAGTAGGTATTTGCCACTGTGGGTGCTTCTACACTTTGTGGCACAGGGCTGTTTGCTGTGGAAGCTGGATCTTATACATCTCATGTATTAGCAGGTAGTAGATCTACGAAAGAGTGGCTAACAAGTGCAGTCTCAGGCCTGTGCCCAAACTGGAAGGAACAGAGGTAAGCCTGACCAGAACTTGCAGCTGTGCTGCAGGAACAAGTTGTGTGGGGAAGTTGAATCATGCAGCATTTTCCCCTGTAGCTGTTGAGAACACATCACAATTAGCAAGATGGTTGCTAAATTTATTCTAAGGATGATGACAACCTTGTAGTGATCAAATCTGTGGTCATGCCTGGGAGTCTATCACAGACACAGTAGGAAATGACTAATTTTGAGTACTGCGGTAAATTTGAGGCATTTAATGTTTGCTGGTGGAAATAGGTATGTGTGGACTTATTGAAAAGGTTAGTATTGATATTGGGCTTACAACAGAAGTTAAATCAAGGTGGCTTCATCTCACAAGCATGTGGGGCTTGAACTCATCCTTGACATCATTCTTCAGGAATTCCTAAGTGAGCCTGGGTCTTGAGGGAGAACTAAGGATAGGCTGGCTCTCCCAGTGAACTGGTACACACACCAAAGTGAAATCTGACACACGTTCCCCTCCCTATCCACTCACTATCAATTTCATGCTTGAGAATGACCTCTGCCCTCCACCACCAAAGTAATCACAGGAGGAGGGCAACCCTGATAGTCACTTTGCCTGGAAATCCCAGGTTGGTTTCTGCCTAGCCCTGTATCTGCCACGAACAGGTGTGCAGTCCTCAAACATCCACCTGGGCACTTCCTGGGAACTCCAGTCAGCAACTCCAGGACCAGGGGTTCTCACTGAGGACTCTCATTCCCAGTCCTGACCTCATCTTCCTCTGGTTCTCCAAGTCTCAGGTGACCCTCTGCTGGGTTTCCTTTTTTTTTTTTCTTTCATTTATTTATTTTTACATTTTTCCACAAACATTTACTTTGCATAGCAAAAAATTTTAGCTCATACTCCATAATTCTTGACAGTTTATAAACAACTTTCAAAATTTCAAAATACTGAATTTTAAAGATAATGTTCAAAATATGTCTTATAATTTTGTATAATTTTATAACTCTATAACAACAGAAGCAGTATGGTTTCAAATATATATATATATATATATATATATACGTATACATGTATATATATATACATATATATATGTGTATATATATATACATATATATATGTGTATATATATATATATATATATATATATATATATAT